GACCACTCGTCGGGGGGAAAATGGCCACAGACCATGTGTCAGGGTCAGGAAAATGGCCGTGGACCACGTGTCGGGGGCGGAAAAATGGCCGCGGACCACGCGTCGGGCGGAAAATGGCCACAGACCATGTGTCAGGGTCAGGAAAATGGCCGTGGACCACATGTCGGGCGGAAAAATGGCCGCGGACCATGTCACGGGAGGGAAAATGGCCGCGTATCCTGTTTGTACCCCGAGGTGGAGTTCGCAAACCGAAGCAAAATTTTGCAGCTGGAGCTGGTCGTAACCCAAAAAGTTTGTTAACAGAAGCGTTCGCAACCCGAGGTTCCACTGTACTTTTAAAATGTCTAAAAATGGACTGTGATTTTCTCCAGTGAATTCAAGAAATCTCTATTAAAGATTCTGGCTTCCATTTTCCTTTTTTGGAAAAAATTGTATTCAGTAGTGCAAACCGCAGATTTTATATTATGTCTTATAATGAAAAGAGAAGGAAATGAAAGGGTAATGTTTGAGCTTTTAGAGTAAAAAGTATTTTAAAAAATGGAAATACAAATATGATTATTGGATTTTCCAGTTTCTACAATTGATGCATAATTCACTTTTCTGTGAATTTAGTTTTAATAACAGAATGTACATGTTTGAGTTGAACAGCTAAGCAACCTTTTGTTGAAAGAGCTGGGAAAATTGTGTGAAAAGGAAAGCCTTTAATCCAGGTTCTGAGCGTTTATCATAGCTCAGCCAGAATGAATGTTCCCAAAGACTGGTTTTCAGGCTCTTAGAACTGTCCAGTCTCTGAACAACCTCAGGAAAATTCCTGGGTTTGGAAGGAAAGAGTTATATAATAATAGTTTACATGGACTGACTTAGGAAAATTTCTGACCTGACTTGGCAGAACTTCTTCACAGCTTTGCAGACAGTTAGATAGAGAAGTCTTTATAGAACATGAACAGAAATCTTTGGGACTTCAGAGGTTTCCAGATCACTATTAGCAAAGAATGTATTTTGATCAGAAATAAAGTGTGGTCACATAGCTAAAGCAGTGTGCTGCTGTTACTTTTGAATCAGATTTGTATCTCTGTTTTTATTGCATATTTTTCTGTTTTGTAGCCTTTCATGTCTCCTCGATATCCAGGAGGCCCAAGGCCACCTTTAAGGATACCCAATCAGGTAACAGTCTTTTAATCAATGAAATGCAAGATGCAAGAAAACATTTAGCTAGGAAAGCCAAACTTTTACTTGCTTTAATTTTGAGAAACACAGATCTTAAAAACTGCAACTATCATGCAGATATTCAACATAATGTTTATTATATGAGGACACCACATCAATAGGTGTTGTGGCAGATAAGAAACAAATTCTGTACCTAAGTTATTATCTTAAAAATGTCATACATTCAGTTGATAATGAGCTATGGTTGCCGTGCTCATGGTAATCTTTCTCTCTTCTGGTCATAAAGTACTTGACAGGAAGAGTTTTGTGGCATTTTAACATGTAAAATACTATGTAATTAAGAAGAAATATATAAGACTCTGCTATTCCATTAAATTTATAACATTGTGTTAAATTTTAACATGATTTAATTTCAGTATGTAAGTTTACGTGGGACTTTATGCTTTGTCTTATAAAATAAATGGGATATTTGCAGTGTTGCCCAGGATTTTGGCATTTTTGTTAATAATGTGAATCTAATAATTAGGTGGACAAAGTAATCTAAAATGTAGTCACATTTAAATTTGGTTTTGTGGGAGAATCTTGAAATACACAAAATAAATCAGGACTAGTTGTAAAAGAAGGTGAATTTGGATAGCAAATTCAGTTGATTCCCACCTTGACTCTTTTAGGGTGAAATTATAGTTTTTGTCTTTTGTATGAAAATAGAATGCAAAAAGTTGTTTAAGTATGGTATTTAAGTAGAAACGTTCTCTGAAATCTTTTTAATAGGCACTTGGAGGTGTCCCAGGAAGTCAGCCATTATTGCCTAGTGGGATGGATCCAACACGGCAGCAAGGTAAAGTGTATTGTCAGCAAATAACTCTTCATAATCAAACTTCCACTTGTTAATACATTGGAACAGTATGCAAAGATGATTTCATCATGTTGTAAGAAATACATTCGTACCATTACTCTCATGTAAATGTAAAAGGGAATGGTGATTTCTGTATAGGTAATTTATGTTTGTTTGTTTATTTATTCATTTAGCAAATTTATATGGTCATCCATCTCACGGGACATGACTCTGGGCGGCATAAAACTAACAATTAAAACAATGTCACAGCCGTTGAAACACTTAAAACAATAAACATAAAAATAAATAAAAAGCAAGATTGCAGGAAAATAACCGTCTCAGCACAATACAACCATCTCGCAGGCTCCCCATGGGATCCCCAAGGTTGCTGTAAAAAATATGTTTTCAGGGCTTTCCGAAAGGCTAAAAGGGATGGGGCTAACCTCACCTCGGGGTATGATGTTCCAAAGGATGGGAACCATAGTAGAAAAGGCACATCATCTGGGTCCCATCAGATGGAATGCTTTAGCACACAGGACCCGCAGCAGTGTTTGCTTTCCTGTAAATTGAATCATGCAAGAGCACAGATTTTCATTTTTCTAAATTGCTGTTGCTTGTGGGGGCAGGATTATCTTAAAGATCCTTTTAACCTATTGAGATTTATTAGCCCTTTTCTTATTAAAAGTTTTAAATAATTTAAATACATCCTGCTGCTACACATTATTTAGCTCTTACACAAGATGAATGAATGGAATGGTATTTAGGTGACAGAATTCATATTCAACAACTCTGAAATTTATATTGTACAGCTCCACTATATCCCTAAATGTGCTTTAATCAAACAAAAACAATGTCTATCTATCTATCTATCTATCTATCTATCTATCTATCTATCTATCTATCATCTATCGATCGATAAGAGATTGCAGGGTAAATGCTTTCCTTAAATGCTGTTGCCCGAAATTTATTAAATTTGCTGTTTAATTAAAATAAAGTTTTGGAAAAAAATCCTTTATTTTTAAGCAATCCATATGAGAGTCATGGCAGGCATCAACTTAGAAGAGGTGTTCTCTTTGAATCTGAATGGAAGAAAGATAATTTATCTGAGATTGTATCTGCCATAATTTTTTACGAAGTATTTTAACCATAGGGAAGTGTGTTTATAATTTGAATCAATTTTATTAAACAATTAAAAATTGTACTCCTATTTTTTTTTCATGTTATCTTTCAGGTCATCCAAATATGGGAGGACCAATGCAGAGGATGACTCCACCTAGAGGAATGGTTCCACTAGGTCCACAGGTATATTGCTCTAATTGTCTTTCACATGATCACATTTGTCATAATTTTCTTTGAGAGAAAGGGAAAAAGAAACAAATAGATGCATTCTTATGGTACACCTATTCCGCTACTTGAAGTTATTATGAATAATTTTTCTGAAAGCTTTGAACAAGGATGAGAATGTGCTCACACCTTTTATTTAGAAATCAAACATAATTTGCTATTAAAGTTCAGAGATCCTTAAAAATTGCCAGAATTTCATAGAGTTTTAGTGTTTAAAACTTGAACATTTAGTTTTAATATTGCTTTAAAATGTTACATGGTTTTAGAATTTTATATGCTATATATGTTATATGTGTATACTTGTAAGCCATCCAGAGCTTATAAATTTATAAATAAAATTTCTGTACATATACCATCCCATTTATCTATTAAATTTATTATTGATAAATTAATAAGAACATATAGAAGCAGTGTGTTTCTGAATACAAGATACTGGGGGCAAATTTTGGCAATGCACTTGTAATATTTAGTTGAAATAAATGTAGTTAAAATATACAGATCATTTTACTTCATCTTAATTAAAATTGCATTTTGCCTAACATTAAATAAAACATCAAGCTTTCGATATTTCTTTGCTTAACATTATATGACATCCGCAATATAGCATCACAGATATTCCTCCAAGAAATGCAGAATACTTTATAGAAAGAGAAAAAACATTAAAGAAGTCAAATGGAAAAATACTTGAATTACTTCTGGTTATAGATTTTTCTATTTACTACTTCTCTTATTATCATCCCTTTGAGGTAGGCCAGGTCAAGAAACAGATGCCACAAAGACTTCTGGCACTCTATTGTTTCTTCTTCAGTCCCTCTTTCCAGGTGTTTACATAACAGCTGTTGAATACCTTCTTCAAGGCCTCTATACTTTAAGTCGTTCTGGCAAGAATCTTTCTCAGATTTCCTTTTTTAAAAATCTTTTTCCCATTTCATCTTGCTCTTAATTAGTGAAGGGGATCAAAATCCAGCCAATAGAATCCAGGAAAGAAACAGATCAGAAAACAGTTTTATCATACCTACAGCATTCTGTAAAAACTTAGATTTATAATATTTCCCTCATATTTTTAATCAGATAAAATTGTGATGACTAAAATTCCGAATAGTGGAAGCAGCAAAATTGTTTTCTTTAGAATATGAAATAAGTCTTATAATGGAGATAATTAAACTTTTTAACTGATGATTGGCAGTAAATAGTATGTTGCCTTTTTCTACAGAAGTATATTATTCTGTCAGGGAAACAACCGCTTTTTATTTTTATTGTTTATATTTTCATTTTTGTTTTGTGGGAGTTTTTTGCTGCCCATTCAGTAAGCATACAATAAGTATACATCATCAATAAACAACAATTAAATCTGTATAAAAATAACATTAAATGTTAATTTACAAGAAAGATTAAGTGTACAGAAGATTTGGGTGCCTAGTGGAATACCTATATTCCCCCACCCCACCCCCTCATATATATAGTCCTAGATTAATCTGATCTGGGTAGAATCAATTATCCAGTTCACTATTATAGTATAGAGTACATTTCTTAATAAGAATTGATTTCAAAGTCCTGTTGAAACTTTTAGAAAGTATAATTTATTTTTTTCTGGAACATTTTGGTGCTATACGTCAGTTACGGGAAAATATACTATCAAGTTGCTGATGTTCCAACTTGACTGGAACATGTATTCCAAAGTAGGTTTGAACAGACTGATTGAAGCAGTCTGTTTTAATATTCATGTTACTATAACATTATGGTTACAGCTGCTAAGTAGGGCTATCTATTTCCAAGTATCCTTACATTTGATTATGCTTAGGTCTCAAAACTAATATTTATGTATTTAATTAATTAATCATATAGCACTTACTGTATGAACATTATACTTTTATTTTAAGGTGACCTAGTTATAATTATGTACTGTGGAAGAGTATAGATTTTCAAATAAATAGTACAGAATCCAGTTTCTGATGCTGATGCAATAACTAAAGAGTTAATTTGAAGGTGCAACTTTAAATATAAATACAGCATTAAGTATGTTTTCTCTGTTTATTGAATAGTTCATTGCTGTAGAATGTTTATTAAGTAAAAATAGTCCTCTTACATGGTAGTACATATGTCTATTGCTAAAGTTAATAAATCTATTATTAATTAAAACAGTTTACTCTAAGAGCTCAACTTTAAAACTCACCCAGTCCCTTAAAATATTAGAATATTGAGTCAGCATTCATGAAATGGCTAAACCTGCCCTTCACTGACAATTGTGCTAGCTATTATAAATGTTACAATCTTCATTAATCAATTAAATGTGCTTACTTCCATTGATAAGATAATAAGGTCAGAAGAAAATGCTAAATAGGTTTTTTTTAAATCAGAAGGAGTATAAAAATAATAATTGTTTATAAATTAAGCAGTTAAAATCCGAAAAATGAATGGCACTGGCCAATCCAATTAGCAGATGTGTAGGGAAGTCATTAACCTGCTGTCCTTTTTTTCCCCCCTCCTCTTTGGTTTTGTTTTTTTGTTTTGTGGTAGTCTGACCCTTGGTTATCGTTGCAGAACTATGGAGGTGCAATGAGACCCCCACTGAATGCTTTAGGTGGCCCTGGAATGCCAGGAATGAACATGTAAGTAATATAAATTGCACTAACACACAATAAAGATGTTGTTTTCAATTAAAACTAATGGCAGTGGTGTAGACACATGCAAATATACAAAACAAAGGCACACAAACATGTCTTTGATTAACTGGTGAACAATTATAACAAAATACCAGAATACCAATATAAATTTGCCGTTTATCTGGTGGGATGGGCAAAATATTGTGAGTATAAAATTTCATGAAATGCTGTTGTTTCAAGCATTTGGACAACTCAACAAGCTTCCAGAAAATACTTGAAATAGCTCATTTTGCACTCAGCTATAAGATGTTTAGCAACATGTTACAACATTTTGAAATAAAACATGTTTGCATACCCTTTTATCTGGCACTACATGAAGCCTCCTTTCAGTGTTTGGTCCATTAGAAGCTAACAAGTTATTCTGCTATGATTCATAGGGGTTTATTTCATCAGCAGAAAGACATCAGCAGAAGACTTCAAATATACTTAAAATGTCAGACTGTATTAATACTTGGCTGATATTCCACCATTTGTATTTTGAAATACACTATTTTTTCAATTCCTTTGAGCTTTTAATCAACTGTAAATTAGTAAACTGAGAGCATACTAAGATCTCAAGGAAGATTTAATTATTCCTTTCTACAATACTAACAAATAAAAGATGGTCTTACAGCCAAAGTCTAAGATTTAGGCAAGTGTTAAAATTGAAGAATTTCAGAGTTTTTATTACAATGGATTTTTGATGGAGATTGGATTATATGAAATAGAGTAATGTGGAAAATATTTCAACCACATGGTGTTCACAGCTTTTCTTTTTTTGGTCCCTTTGAGTCAGTCTTGACTCCTGGCAACTGCCTGGACTAGTCCCTGCAATTTTCTTGGCAAGAATTTGGAAATGATTTGCCATTGCCTGCTTCCTAGGGCTGAGAGAGAGGGCCTGCTCCAAGGTCACCCAGCTGGCTTCGTGCCTAAGGCAGGAGTAGAACTCAGTCTCACAGTTTCTAGCCTGGTTGCTTAACCACTACCCAACTGGCTCTCTCACAACAATATAGTGGAAACTAATTTTCATTAAGGTGTAAGAACTGTAGTAGAAATGATAGCAAAGTTTTATTTTTGTTTTTTTAAATAAAGGATTTTATCAGTGGTATCCAGCAAGAATCAAAACCTACATGGCATCAGAAGTGAGGGAAAAAAGGCAGATTTCAAATATATTTGTTTGGGGGTTTTGTGTATAGTTATATAAAGCTGTAATTGACTTTTTAAATGTTTTTTGTTTTATTTGTTAAATTATTTTATATTTTTTACACTGCTTGAGTCATATGACTCTAAATGGTATGCAGTAATATCTTTGAAACAATATCATTAAAATCAAACATCTTCACATTCAGTGTCAATAAAGCAGTGTTATAATAATCCATTATTTATACTAATGACATCATTTAGCAGCAGTGTGACCACTCACTTTACTATCTCAAATGCCTCATGAACAACTAGGTTTTCAGAAATTTGCTAAATGTTAGGAATGAGTACAGATCTTAAATCTCAAAGATGGTGTTCCACAGAAGGGGAATTCTTGCAGAGATGCTCACCTCCAAATCCCCCCCCCCCATCTTACTTTATGAAGAGTGGGAATTCTCAGCAAGCATTCTCAGCAGTCACGCATTTGGTGGGCAATATGTTATTATTTGGAGTAAGTAATCTTGTAGATAATGAGGCTCCAAACCATATAGGACTTTAACTTTGATAGCCAGCACGTTGAGATACATCCTAAAAGCAAATGGCAGCAATTCAGCCCTGCCATATTGGTTTTATGCAGCTATACCATCTAATCACTTAGTATGCGGGCAGCTGCAATTCTGCACTAGTTGAAGTTTCCTGATGGTCTTCAAGGACAGTCCCGTGTAGAGTGCTTTACAGTAGTCCAAACATGTGACAAGGGCACAAGTGACCTTGCCTGTGCCTCATATTCCAGGAACATCTGGATGAAATGGGGGAAAAGTCCTGACTACAGCTTCCATCTGCTTTTTCAGCAGAAGCTGAGAATCCAGAAGAACTCAAAAATTGCATACCAGCTGTTTCTGGGGAATACTATGATGGAATGTATCTACAAGGAGGAGAGTGATGTGGGAGATCAAGGCTATCAGGAGGGAGGGGGTGCATTCCAGGAGGGGAAAGGACA